TGGATTCAAACCCGCCAGCTCAGGTGTATGTGGCTGGCGCCTCAGCCACTCAAGCCACAGGCGCCAAGCCTTCCCAGGCTCTTTGAATGGTAGCCTCCACATTTTATTCTTCAGGGATAAGATCAAATGACACCCCCAAGTAGAGGTCTTCTTTGACCATCCTAGCCAAAGCTGGTCTCCCATTATTCCCCCTAATATCATTTGATTATTTCCTTCAGAGCAAGGATGTTAGCACATGTTGTTTGGTAACCAGTTCAAATTCCTGCTGGAAATTTGTTGACTGCTACTGATCCTTTCCATCATGTTTCCAGCAAGTCCCTATGTATATTACCTCACCAAGTAAAGTGGCATAATCCAAATTAAATTCTGAAAAGAGAAGAAGGGTAAAATAAAACAAGATACTTTAAGGCTGGAGATGATTTTTTTGGCTTTAAGGTAAAAGTTTTGCTTCATGTTTACCTACTTGGATTGCTTGCAGTGTATCTTTGATCAAGAGAATTTAATTAATTAATACTTTACAGCCTTAGAATGGTGCCTACCACATAATAGATGTTCCATAAATGTTGGTTGGTATTATTATTTAGTACAGTGGCACGCTGTTTTTTGTAATAATTCAGTTCCCACATTTGTAAAATGGGGATAACATTTAATTTGCAGAATCTTTTAAAGAATAAAGCACATAATACCAAATATTTGAGGCTTTGCTATCATGATTATTCACTCCCCTAGAATGCAACTCACAGTCCCCAAGAGGCTCCAAATAACTCTACTAGGACTGCACTGTGATTTTCCTGGGACCAAGGCACTTCTGCCTTCATAGGCCCCTAACTTACTAAAAATGGCATTTTATGACTGTGATGAGATAAAGCGAATATAGTACAGACTGGATTCATTGCCACATAATCATTAACACCATATTCTTTTTTTCTTTTTGAGACGAAGTCTCACTATGCCGCCTTGGACAGAGTGCCGTGGCATCACAGCGCACAGCAACCTCAACTCTTGGGCTTAAGCGATTCTCTTGCTTTAGCCTCTCAAGTAGCTGGGACTACAGGCGCCCGCCACAACGCCCAACTATTTTTTTTTTGGCAGTACTTGTCATTGATGTTTGGAAGGTCCCCGGCCGGGCTCGAACCCGCCAGCCCCGCTGAGCTACAGGCGCCGAGCCAACACCATACTCCTTTTAGAAAGAAATTCAAATTAAAACATTTTCGTGGACCCTCCCAAAACATCATGAACTCTACAGGCACGGTACCTACTGTGCCTAATGAATACATTGGTCCTGAGCTTCTCTACTTGTCCACATTTTATTTACCATCTTTGGATTCCACCAAGGTCACCCTGGAAGAGTCCTCTTACGTCTCACCCCGCGGCCCACACGCGCATTTTCTCCCAACGCCAGCACCCACCGACAGCCTTCGGAAAGCCACGGGTGAGGAAGCCCCCGAATCCGAGTCGAGCGCCAAGGCTTCGGCCAGACACAGACGCCACTGCAGCGACCGAAACCCGCCGCAATAAACTCATAGCAGCCATGGTTACGTCGGGCGAGTGGACGAAGCCGAGGAATGACGGGAGCTGAGATCCAGTTTACCAATGAGGATGAAGGCAGAAGGTGGCCATGTTGAGTGAGGGCAAAGGCATGTTTCCTGTTCTCTTCTTGCGCCTGCGTAAAACGTCGGAAGTGACGGAATTGTTGGCGGAAGCGCAATTAGCTTAGTTACCAGAAATAATGGCTGCGTCCAGTTTGGCTATTCTTTGTAGAAGAGTCTCAGACGTTCTGAAGGTGTCCAGGCCGTTAATAACTCTTCAGGCCCCTACCAGCACAGGGTAAGTGATGTTTGGGGTGCATTTGTCTACCTCTCCGTCTTTGGGTCTTGTTTTTCTGCTTGAGATGCGGAGTACAGGTTATGGATGGAAAGGCTGTTTGGATGGCGAGCCAGAGCCCCCTTATGTGAGGAGCGAGCGACCTTGGAGACGTCCAGCTCCGACATAGTCTTTCTTCCTCAAACATTTTGTTGCCGTCTGCTGTGGACTAGACAATATATGTGGTTTGTAGATGCCTAGCATTTGTTGAGGTAAACCTAGAGGTACAGAAGCATGTTCTTTTTTTTTTTTTTGAGACAGAGCCTCAAGCTGTCCTCCTGGGTAGAGTGCCGTGGCATCACAGCTCATAGCAACCTCCAACTTCTGGGCTCAAGCGAGTCTCCTGCCTCCGCCTCCCAAGCAGCTGGGACCACAGGCGCCCGCCACAACGCCCGGCCATTTTTTGGTTGCAGCCGTCATTGTTGTTTGGCGGGTCCGGGCTGGGGATTCGAACCCGCCACCTTAGGTGTACATGGCTGGCGCCTTAGCCGGTTGAGCTATAGGCGCCGAGCCAGAAGCATGTTCTTGGGCTGGGCGATTTGGGAAAAATTTGACCGGAAAGCTTTATGCTGTGGGACTGCAAGCTGAGTAAAGTTTGGACGGATAATAAAGAAGGGATGAGGAGCAGGGTCTGTTAGTTCTGACTTAACGAGTACAAAGCATGGGTATAAGGCACACTTTCTGGGTGAAGGACACAACTACATGTCGACTTTATCTTACAAACGCAAGCAGGGTAACCTGATCGTATGTACCCTCATATTAATCTGAAATTTGAAAAGGGCGTTCTTATATTTTTACTTTTCCAAATGGACAGTAAGTAACCCTGCAGGGAATGAAAAAGGAGCCCCTTGTAAATGGTGTTCATTATTTTGAGGTGGCAAGACAACTTGTCTTCTGGACAGACTGATCATTTTTGAATCTAGGATGTGTGGTTTCTTACCCTTTCTTGGCAGTTGTCTAAAATGAGTTGAATTTTATAAATAGTAATTTTATATACAGGGCATGTCAGACGATTTTAAAGTAAAAATGTATTCAGGTATCTATTCTTGAATGCATAAATGACTATTGAGCAAATGTTAATGTGCTATCTCTGTATTATTACACTAACAGAGATAAGCATTATTTTTCCATTTCACAGAGACTCAGATGTCATAACTTGACCAAAGTGGCAAACAGATCAGTTGTCTCTTCTACTTCACTTTTTTTTCTTAAAAAGGAACCAATTGTGGGTTATTTTTAGTTATAAAATGAATGTATGTTTGTTTACAGACCCTTTGGAAAACGGAGTGAAGTATTTTGAAGAAGAAAGTAAAAATTAGCTGTCATTCTACCATCTGGAGATAGATATCCTTCCATTCTTCTTAACATCACATAATACACCATATTTAATTTATAAATAAAATTAGAGTCATTTTATGTATATCTGTTTTGTGTTCTACCATTGTTTGTTTAAAAAACTTTCAAACCTAGGGCAGCGCCTGTGGCTCAAGGAATAGGGCATTGGCCTCATATACCGGAAGTGGTAGGTTCAAACCCGGCCCCTGCCAAAAACTGCCAAAACACCCAAAAAACTTTCAAACCAGGGGGGATGCCTGCAATGCTAGCACTCTGGGAGGCTGAGGCAGGTGGATTGCTTGAGCTCAGGAGTTCAAGACCAGCCTGAGCAAGAGCAAGACCCCATCTTCACTAAAAATAAAAATAGCCAGGCGTTGTGGCGGGTGCCTGTGGTCCGAGCAACTTGGGAGGTGGAGGCAGGAGACTTGCTTGAGCCCAGGAGTTGGAGGTTGCTGTGAGCTCTGCCACGGCACTCTACCTAGGGGGACAGCTTGAGGCTTTGTCTAAAAAAAAAAAAAGGATACTTTCTGAAGTATTTTGCAAGTTTATTGCTAGTGCAGAAATTTTGAGTAGGTTTTTTATTTTTAACATTATAGATGAGGAAATGATTTGGCTTATTGCTTATAAGATTTGAATATGATAAAGCTTCAGTCATTTTTTTTATATGCATTCAGTTGCAGGATTTCTCTTGGTTTGTTGCCTAAGAATATGCCAGATGTCACATCCCTTTACCATTGTAGATTACTTCATACTACATTATCAAGAAAAGGACTGGAAGAATTTTTTGATGACCCAAAGAATTGGGGAGAAGAAAAAGTAAAATCTGGTGAGATACTTTGGATTGGTTAATATTAAATATACAGTATTTCTTTAATCCTCCATCATTCGAGGATTATTTATCCAGTTTAGGAATTATGTGTTTCCTTTTTTGATTTCTTTTGGGACTATGTACTAGAGAAAATTAAAAGGACAATATATGGCAAGTTGGCAAAAGGTTTAGAAGAGGAGTAGGTTGAAATCGTTAAAGTGAAGTTTAAGGCCAGACTTGGTGACTCACACCTGTAATCTTAGCACTCTGGGAGGCCGAGGTAGGTGGATTGCCCTGAGTTCACAGGTTCAAGACAGCCTGAGCAAGAGTGAGACCCAGTCTCTAAAAATACCTGGGTGTTGTGGTGGGTGCCTGTAGTCCCAGCTACTCAGGAGGCTGAGGCAGGAGGATTGCTTGAGTCCAAGAGTTGGAAGTTTACAGTGAGCTATGATGCCATGGCACTCTACCAAGGGCGACAAAGTGAGACTCTGTCTCAAAAAAAATGTGAAGTTTAGGGTTTATTTTTGATTTCATTTTTTAGTGATAATTAAAATTTATAATAATAGAAATTTTATGTCATTAGGGTGTTAGAATGCATTCTGTACTAATGCTAACATTTTTGAATGCTGTTTGTTACTAATTTTTTTTTTTTTTTTTTTTTGAGACAGAGCCTCAAGCTGTCCCCCTGGGTAGAGTGCCATGGCATTACAGCTCACAGCAACCTCCAACTCCTGGGCTCAAGCGAGTCTCCTGCCTCTGCCTCCCAAGTAGCTGGGACCACAGGCGCCCGCCACAACGCCCGGCTATTTTTTTTTTTTTTTTTTTGGTTGCAGCCGTCATTGTTGTTTGGCGGGTCCGGGCTGGGGATTCGAACCCGCCAGCTTAGGTGTACGTGGCTGGCGCCTTAGCCGGCTGAGCTAAAGGCGCCGAGCCGTTACTAATATTTTTATGTGTGTTATTTAGTTTAGTTGTAATTATATGTTACATTATATAATGAAGCTATTAAATATCTTACAGATAAGGAAACAGGTTTATAGAGGTTAAGTAATTTGCCAGGGGGATAAAACTAGAAATGTTATTTCAGGTTATGAATTATCATTTATAGGAGCATCATGGACCTGCCAGCAATTAAGGAACAAAAGTAATGAAGATTTACATAAACTTTGGTAAGTAAGTATACAAAATACATTAACATCCAGGTGATTGAAACAGTTACAGTATAACAAGAAGGTAAAACCTTTATATCTGGGCTGGGCATGGTAGCTTATGCCTATAATCCTACTACTCTGGGATGCTGACAGTGGCTGATCAGTTGAGCTCAGGAGTTTGAGACTATCCTGAATAAGAGCAAGACCAGCTTGAGCAAGAGTGAGACCACATCTCTAAACAAAATAGAAAAATTAGCTGAGCATGGCGGTATAGGCTTGTAGTCCCAGCTGCTTGGGAGACTGAGGCAAGAGGTTTAGTTGAGCCCAGGTGTTTGAGTTTGCAGTGAGCTGTGGTGACACCATGCTACTATACTCTATCCTGAGCAATAGCGCAAGGCCCTGTCTCAAAAGAATTTTTTTTTATCTGATATGAGAAATTGAGTGAAGTGATTTGTCTTCTAGTACTGTGGGCAAGACAAACAATTGTGAAAGATTTTATATGAATGGCAGAGGTTAGAGTGCATCACAATTCTCTAGTTCACAGTTTAGAAATTTAACTGCTTCTGATCATATTAACACCTTTCTACTAGCAGTTTTTATAAACTAATGACATGGAGATTAGTGGGTTATTTTTAGACTTTCCTCATTTTCATTACCTTTATTATGGTCTGTAATCTTTAGCTTATTTGCTTTAGGGGCATGTGGGGGGGAACATTTAGTTGAGAATTTAGGTGGACTTTTTTGGGTAGGTTCTCCTGATGGATAGAGAAGGTTGAAAGGACTTAAGACAGGGATACGCTTTTTTTTTTTTAAGACAGAGTTTCACTTTGTCACCCTGGGGTAGAGTGCCATGGTGTCATAGCTCACAGCAACCTCACACTCCTGGGCTTAAGCAATTCTCTTGCCTTAGCCTCTCAAGTAGCAAGGAGTATAGGCACCTGCCACAACGTCCAGCTATTTTTAGAGATGAGCCTCCGCTCCTGGTCAAAGTTACAGTTTTAATTGACTTTCATCCAAAGATGTGGTTTTTTTGTTTGTTTTTGAGAGGAAGGAAAGGGAAGTTTATTACTTTGTTGGCAAGTAGGAAAAATGGCAAATCATTCATCTCAAAATAGAGATTTTTCCTGAACATAGGCAGAAATACAAAGCTTTTGAAGACCTATTATCATTCACCTACAGTTGATGATTCTTATCATCCCATCTCTGCTAAAGGCAAAACCTTGACCAGTTTCCTGTATTTTGAGGTCCTCTGTTTCTCTCTAGCCCAGCATTGTATCACACATTATATATAAGACAACAGTCAGCCCTCACCTTTACAATTGTCACTTATGATTTTTCACTTGGTGATGTTGTTATACATGTCCTGCCACAGTTTTACGATGACATGTACATATGAGTACAAACTTCTATCTAGAACATCACTGGAATTCAGTGGGAACTAGCTCAAGACTACATTGCCCCTCCTCCCATAGATATGGATGTGTAAAATTGAGAGTGGAGAATACGTAACAGGAAGTGGCCTGAAAAAAAATGGCAGAAATGTTTTCCATCTCTTTAAAAGCTCCTTTTGGGGCTCGGCGCCTATAGCTCAACCGGCTAAGGCGCCAGCCACG